TTGCCAACTTTTTCCTTTTTGCCAACTTTTTGCTAACTTTTTGCTAACATTTTGAGAGATGTCTTGCTCTGAGAAGTCTTTTGTAACTAACAGGGTACTAATGCCATTTGTTTCATCATCCCAGAGTAACTTCAGCACTTGACTACTTAAATGAAATTACCCACAGGCACTTGGAAAAACTGCCTGGGAATGCGATATCGTAGGTGGGACTGCTAACACAATTGTTCGCAGCTACCTCCAAACGGTTTTCTTTGCCTTTCGAGTTCAAAAGTCTAGCCATTTTGGGAGAGAAAAAAAAAGCAAATCAAGTTTATGTTAGTTTTGGAACAGCAATTGAAGTCTGACATAGCAAACAGAAGCTACGTTAAGACAAGTAGCCAGCCCAGGGTGTGACTGTATGACGCGTGACAACACTTCAAGTGCAGCGCTGTTGCAATCTACAGGCCCAGAATCAAGCCCTCCCCATACTTCACTGAGGAAGAGTAACATCAGATATAACTTCAACATCATTTCATCCCCAGATTTTGACTCACAATGACCATGTGATAAACACTGTGCTGAAATAGCAGGGAAGAATAAAAAGGACAGACTAACTTTATCGATACGGACTAGACTTAAGAAAACAGTGCTAGTCCATGGCAACTGTTAACACTTTTTTTTACAGATAGACTCAATTCTAGCTTCTCCTACATTTTTATATCAAGCCCTTTCTAAAACTAGCTGAAACTGAATACTCGCAACAGTATCAGAGATACCTTGGTTAAATCAAAAGGATTAAATGGAAACTTCTCTGCTTCTTCAAATGTCATAACTTGAATATAGAAAGACCACGATGGGTAGTCCCCCTTGGCAATGGCGTTGTAAAGATCACGTATCGCGTAATCAGGATCAGTAGAAGCCAGTTTTCCTGCTTCTTCAACTGAAAGATTTTTGATGCCCTGGTCAGTCTAAAAGCAAATAAAAGCAGTAGTATCAGTTATAACATGGAGAAAATATTATAGAAGCCATTAATAGGAATGTAATTTAACAAGACTTAGAGTCCAAGAACACAATTGCTCATCCTCCTATCTCCAATAATTTGAGTTCAGACTGACAGTACATTCAACAGTTGCCATTCAGAGAAAAACGAGTTCTCTGATAAAAGTGAAATAAATATGTAATGCTAGACCACAGAATGCAAGCTATCAAACATGAAGGTATGATCCCTGCAGCATATCAGGTAAAGAAGCTCACCCTCTCCCCTTACAGGACAGGGTGCTCCTTTACTGTCCCACCAGCTCACCTTTTCCTGCAGACCACGTGCCAACATGAAGCAACAGAACGGTCCCGGCTTTCAAAGCTGCAGGTTCTAGACTCTACATGAATCTCACCTCCCCACGTCTATGTGTGATATCATTAGCACTAACTAAAATCTCACTTTAATGCACTTTTGACAACTCACAGGCTAAAAGCTGCTACATAATCCCGCTTAGTTTACCATAACAGTTTCTGAAGCCTTGCTTTGCAGGTAGATGTCTAATGAGGTGAGAAGCTGCACTGCCTTTAAAACATTGAAGTTAAGCTGTTCTCAACTAAAATATGTTATATACTGCTTTCTCAAAAGTGAGGGAGTTCTGTAAGTCTCAGGTGCAGAACTTTTGGAAACAAGAGTTTTTTGATTTTGATACCCAGTCAAGGCCATTTTAAAAAACACTCGATCAATGCAACTAATATCCAGAAGATAAACAGCAACAAAAACCAAACCCAAACTGAGATAATTTTAACCTGAAGAGGCACCCGTCGAATACAAACTACTGTGTAGCCACAAACATGAAACAGGAACATATCACACAGTGAATAAAACACATTTCCAAAGAGCCAGAGGATTCTTGCACCTGCACTGAACATGAACAAGGGAGTCTGGTGGGAAGCACGAGGCTGAAATGCAGCAAGTTGATCTAGGTGCTCATGTCCAATATATCCACATACATCATATCCAATGCATATTTCCAATAGAAAACTGGAAAAAGCATCAGTACCTTCACGTGGAACTTGCAGTAAACTGCTCTTCCATTAGCATTAACCAGTTTAAAAGTATGTGACCCATATCCATTCATATGGCGAAAACCATCAGGAATACCACGATCACTGAATAAGAAAGACACCTAAAGAGAAGGATCGGACAAGATTAAGGGACTCACTACATGAAGGATAAAGTTTGTTTATTGCGTTCGCCTGCAGCACTGGGAGCTATCTTAAATGTTACGTATTCCTTGAAGAATTTCAAGTTTAATCTTTAAGACTGTTAATGAAATAAGCCTACTTTGGTTTTGCACAAACAACAACTGTGAATTAAACCTATGTAAAGTTCTATGCCCACATGAAACATGACGAAATACAAGACATAAACCTTAGTGATAATTTGCTGATCTCCCCTACAAGCACAGAGCAGGTAAGAATGGATAATTTCAATACAAGAACTTCTTCCAAGTTAAAGATAAAAATCCAAAAACTTATGTCCTTAACAACTAGTTCTTCAAAATCTTCAAGTACCACGATGCAAACATACTCAAAATGCTGTTTTTCTTTAGGTTTATGAACATAAATGATGCTTGTGGTGGTACTTCTTCCAGTTACTCAAAGGCTTCTGCATGAACCTGTTTTCTTTAGGAAAAAAATACAACTGCATTTACTCAATACAACTGCAATTACTCAAAGGCTTCTGCATGAACCAGTTTTCTTCAGGAAAAAAATACAATTGCATTTTTTTTTTTTTGCATAACATTCTTTGACAAAAATGCATTTCAGAATAATTAGAATGCAATGTGAATTCTAGTCATTTCTGAAGCTGATCTAACGTGCTACACAACATACAGCTTTAAATAAACTTGTATGTGATAGCACTACTTCCCCAGTATTTTACTGTTCTCCAACACCAACAATTTGCTGATTACCAGTACCTCCACTGTTTCAGCGTTAGAAAACTGAGCAACTTCCTCTTCATCCCTACAGAAAACACAATTATGAAAACAGGAGAACCCTACTCCCTTCAGAAAGTCTTTAAAAAAGGCTAGATTCACATACTAATGCTTAAAAGTTATTGTAGGCCTTTCACCTTTACTGTTCCTAAAAGATGATGAAGGTTTTTAGATAAAACATAGAAAAGAAAGAGTTCAATATCCACTGTCATAACCTGATTTCCTTCATCATGCAGAATAAAGTCAAAGGAGAACCTTACTTGATGCAAAGACTCCGGGCGAAGGCTCCAGAAGTCCCACACCATGTCTGGATCCTTCAAGTGAGTCTGAGGGTTCCTCTTTTGGCTATGGATGAAGGATGGAAACTAATTTGTCCAAAAGTGGAGGAGGGAGGAGACAGAGAGGGGAAAAAAAAAATTTTAAAAAAAAATAAATCTGTAACTCCTCCAAATTATCTGGGGTATATTAAGCAATTCCTGGTGCAAAACAAGACAAACAGCTTTTTCAAGGCACTTCACAGTGAAAGGAACAGCACACTGAAAGACAAGACAAAACTCTAAGACCACTGAAAAAAATCTTCTACTGTCAGACCCTTCCTGCAACCAAACTCATTCACAGACTAGTAAAATTAGGTTACAGTGAAACATTTATAATTAGGATAGATAGGCTGTTAAAAGCTAAATGCTTGCATGTAAAAAGTTTTAAATGCTTTCATTTCATGACAGGTCAAGCGAAAGGTAAGTCTTTTCAAATTTGTATATCTGAACTTTACTGATTATCTGAGTGGTAGATGAATACAGAGATACTACAACATATCTGTGCAGAACTCCTCCACTCAAGAAAAGCCCCTGTACTTACAAAGTGCTGTTAAACTTACACTAAAAGATAAAAAAGATAAATCAGATTTTTTTTTAGAAAAAAAGAATTCGCAAGAAGCTTTTTAAGTGAGAAATGTCAATTTTTTATTATCTCCCCACCTGCCCCAGATAGCCCCAGAATCAAAAAAAAACCATGAACAGAACAGCTAATTCAGACACCAGTAGAACTGATCAGATCTGAAGTTAAAAACACAATAATGACCTTACTCGCTGGCTATTCTGCTGTGGCAGATGCACTAGGGGACACAACAAGGCACGTGTGTTCTTAATTATTTTTTTTTTTAAATAACATCTCTTCAAGTCAAAAATGTTCAGACCATCTGACAAACAGCAAAGTTTAAGTCTGTCAGAAAAACAGCTTTTGCTTCTCAGCAGAGCAAGAACAAGGCGCAAATGAACTCTGGGACTCTTGCACAAAGCACCCTCATCTTTTGCGCTTACTCACCAACATCGCATCCCGGATAAAGAAGATGGGAGTATTATTTCCCACAAGATCCCAATTACCCTCTTCCGTGTAGAATTTCATTGCAAAGCCTCGAGGGTCACGAACTGTGTCAGCTGATCCAGATTCTCCAGCTGGAAGAAACACGTGAACACAGGGAAGTGTTATGAGAGGAAATGCTTGCAAACTGTGAACATAAGAACACTGGCCTTGAGAATACACCATAAAATCCTAAAAGGGCGGGGGGTTTGTGTATCAAGGAATTTGGGGCACATTTTCAACAATACTTGAGGTACTGCAGGTGTGAACAGGCTCAGCCAAGCATTCAGGTCACAGTTAAAAGAAAAAAAAAAACACCATAAGTATATCCACTTGAACCAATTCAGAATTGTATTATCACTAACAGACACAACATTAGATTGTAAGGCTGAATCAGCTAAAAAAACCATTAGTTTCCGTGCATCAAAACCCAGGGCCAAAGCTCTCATTTGGAAGGGAGCAATCTAAACAGCGTGCCTAACAAAAAAAGCAGATTACTATAGAAGAGTTGTAACCTTTTAATTCCCCTCCAAAACAGACCTTTCAGTGGGTAACTTTATACCAGAGATAAAATGTTCCAGGAGCATTTGGGAACAACCAGTGTTAAACGTGATGATGAAATAACGAGAGTGCTCACTTGTCTCAGTTAAAATCCATTTGTGTGCTACACAACAGCGAGGAAGAAACGTGTTCAAGCAAAGCAGAGAAAGGGAATGATGTAACAACCTCCTTCAGCACACAGACCAAATTCAGCTGCACGTCTTCCCCAGATCACATTCCATGACTCCTTTGGCCCACAGGACAAACCCAGCAGCTCTTTAAGCCCCGTTGGACTATCTTTTCTCTCCAATACTACCTCTAGAACTAGATCCTCGTTAGGATTTCTTCTCTTTCCAATACAGATAAAGCAGTAACACGTATATTTCGAAAGATATTTTTCTATCAGACAAGATATTGATCCTAATGCACGTCTTAACCAGTAGCATTTCAGATTTTGTTAGTTTATCCATTCAGTTCTAAGAAATAAGAGTTTATTTAGGGAAGATCATTTATTCTTCTTTGCCTAGTACTTACTCTACAGGATCCATCCCCAAAACATTCCCACAGCATAAGAGATTGTAAGTTTTTAACTTTCAAGTGTTAAAACTACTGCATGCAAGAGTTGATTACAATCCACCCAAGAACAAAACGAACTTTGTCAGAAAAACAAAAAAGTAGCCCAGACTATCCTTTCTCTCACAGTCCAAAGGGAAAAGGGTCTACAGAGAGCTCTGGCAGAAAGATGCAGAAGCTGCTTCACATCTTAAAATTTAAATGAAATGCACAGAAAGGGAATTGGTTGGCAGAAAGCATTTCAAACTGCCTTCAGTACACAGAGTGCTCCCCAACGCAAACATTGTCATCCCTGTAACTATGGCACACACCTAAGTTACACACACAATAAATTTAGAGCCTTACCAACAGTGGAGAACCGTATGGCAATTGGAGTTCTTTTTCCAACGCTTTCAAACACTTTTGCCCTACAATACTGGGTGATATCATGAGTCACTTCAAAATAGCCAAAGGCTCCTGAAAAAAAGTAATTTCAAAGTATCAGACCTAGATATCTTCCTTCCATTCACAGGGTATCTGTTATTCCTGTATGGTCCAACATACAACTTTAAGTCAAAAGGAAACACAGAAATACACCAGATTAAACACTGCACTAAACCCCTCAATTTGTTTTCACAAAACAAAACTTACTTAACACAAACTATTTGCACAGTTCTCATTCTCCCCGTGCTTAACTGATCATTAACAGCTCCCAGTAGCAATCCAGACCTCATCCCTACTGCGCAAAATAAGAAACAGGAGTTTTTTGGATGCTCTTCTACCAAGATTTGCATATTCACCTTAGAGCAAGACAAGCATTTCTTTAGGCCTGATACGTGTTGCAGAATTTTTGGTCCACCTGCAAGCTGGATGAAGCAACAAAATTCTTCCCACCCCCACAGAAGAGTTTTTCCCATGTACGTTACATTATAAATTCAGTCCTGTATTTTCTTCTTCTAGAGCAGTGTAACAAAAAAATCAGAGGTGCCAGTTCTATCCTGCTAAGATCAATACCAAGTTTTAAAATGAGTGGGTTTCGTTGTTTTTTTTTAACTTAAATATTAGATCACCATCTGGCTTTGGCAGACAGATATCTCAGATGAAAAAGGCAAGAATTTCTACTAAATAACATGCAAATATTAAAATAGAGATGGGCAAGTCTTCCCTTCCAGAGGAACAGAGTATTACAGATAAAGGAAGCAAGAGATTACAGTAAATATCATTAAAAAATTAAGGGCTACAACTACATTTTTTCTTATTGTTTTTTCAAACAGTTTTTCAGCGCTTCAGGTTTTGGCACAGAGTTCCTTAAAGTCATGTCTTAGCACTGTTGTTGACGTGGATTTATTTATTATAATCTGTAACACTAAATTATACATAATATACCACAATTTATCTGCCACAATCTATGTGTTAACTCAAAAGCTTTTTAAAGTCTCATCCCACAGAGAGGAAAAAGGATGTGTTTTTAAACATACCTGCCCCTTTTGCATGCACAACTCTTTCAGGAATCCTCTCTCTGTCAAAATGAGCCATCTCATCAGTGAAAACAACATCTTGAACAAGAAGAGGTCCACGTGGCCCCACCGTCAGAATATTTAGCTTATCCCCTATGGGGTTCCCAGCACCGGTGGTCAAGACATCTGGTTTCTGAAAGCAAGAAAAGGTCAATGTCGCAACACCAGAAATTAAAAACACTCTTTACTTAAGTCACACAACATGCCTGGCTCAACCATTACATGTCACAGGACATATTAACAGGTGTGCACCAAAATGATGCAAGATTCTGGAATTAGCTCCAGAAAATAGAGATGTCTGGTTGTAGTATTGTAGGACAATGCCTGGGGCTATTTAAGAAAGGGAGTTCAAGCCACGTATAATTCAAGAGTGTCTTCCACAGTTCACAAATATTACTTGTTAAGACCATCAGTTTGCCCCCACTTCAACAAGGGAGGATGGGAGAAGAGCACATTAGAACAGGAGCAGCTGCTCAAATAATAAGGGAGAAAGGAGAGGAAGAAGAAGATGATGGCGGTACAGGGAATGGAGGTTGTACTCCCACCTTCATAAAAAATAAAAGAAATGAGCCAAACACAGCAAGAAAGGTACATCAGCTCTAGAGACCTGATGATCACAGGTGTCAGTTGCTCCTGCAGCACATTTGTTAACTGTTAGGAGCCAGGGCGGTGCTTGTGAAGGATTTAAAAGAACACAATAAAAGTGAACACAAAATAAAAATGAAATAGGCAAAATTCTCATCTGTATCTCACGGAGAAGTACACTGAGCTGGACTAGCCTCCAGGTTTTTTTTACTAAGAGGCAACCCCCAAAGGCAGGAGAAGAAAGAATTATTCACATCTACACCTTGAGTTCTGGCAGAGAATACAGGGAGTGTCACACACACCTTTGTTTCACTCTGGTACATGAATAACCACATCAAAGACATTTTGACAGGATAACTGCATTTCCGGTGTGTTCTTACTAATATGCAACACACGCTATTCTAGCTGGCTTGAATTCCCAAAATATCTACGTTCTTTATTCTTCATTCACCACTTCATTAGCGTAAAACCGTAAGATAAATTCAACTCCTTAAGTATGCTGGATATCCTAACCTCCACAGAAATTCGTACAAACATTAAGAAAACTTGCGTATCTGGTTACGAATAGGAAACTGCTCATAGAATTGCTGAAGTTGAAAAAGACCTTTAAGGTCATAAAGTCCACCCGTTAATCCAGCAACGCCAAGCCCACCCCTGAACCACTTCCCCGAGCACCACATCTACGTGGCCTTGAAATGCCTTCAGGGATGGGAGCAGATCCTGCCAACAGCACCCTCTGCTTCTGTCTTTTCCTCCCCAACCTCCCTGTGTCATCACTCATTACAGACATTTCCACCCTTCCCACGTGTTCTACTTCCACTCCAAGACAGCCTGTGACACAAGGTCCCCGTGTACAGCTACAGCACCATTTATGGATTCTGACTACTGTAATTCTGATAAAAGCTAACTCGGGGGCTTGGTAACTTTTTAAACACGAGACGCAGCTCTTAACACCTGGCCACTTTTAAGAGTCACTGCCATTTATGTTATCTTGAAGTAGCAACTGAGTTTCACTCCATCCATTGAGAAACAAAAAAGCTACATTGAATTAGAGCATTGTTTATCCTGGAGTTCTTTATAAATTCTAAGGATCCCAGGAGACTTAACCACATGGTGGTAGGACTATAACGCACATACCAATATCTATAAACTTCTCTGCTACAAAGCCTTTAGAAGACCTTGGTATAAGATAGAACGGGGGGGAATTGTATCCTAAGGAGACTTTCCAAGTCCTTCTGATTCACCTATGCCTTTATAATCCCTTTCATGTGATTACCTCAAAGGTAGAAATACCCCTCGTGTGTTAGTTGTAAGCTACGCGTGCAAAAAATAAAGGTTTGTAGAGGCAATAGAGCCTTTTTCAAACCAACAGGCTACACTATTGTCTAAAAACCACTTCTATGATGCCATCATTTTGCACCACTAGAAGCAGCTAACCAAAACCTCAATATTTGGAAACGAAACCTATCAGAAAAATTGAACAGCTTTGTGGCTGTGTGGACTCTTTTGAGCAGGCAGACTTTCTGAATCAAGGTTCTTTCTGGTGTTCACATTGGAAGTACAAACTTTTTTTTTTTAAATGGTAGGTTATATTTGCTTCGGTTTCAGTGTAAGGTTACATGGGTCACACTAAGTTTAATCAGTGTGAAGGAAGAGTAAAAACACAGTAGTTTTAAGAAGAATTCTCCTACTTTTGGACTTGAGTCTGATATCTGTATTTTCATATGGTTGGGAGCTACATACAGTCAAAACTTTAAAAGATGCGTGTGTATTTCATTACAGCACTAACCTGCTACCAGAAAAAGAAGGGAAACAAAGCCAGGAGAATTTTAGTCACAGCTGTTGTAAACATCATACATCAAAGTACATACTTCTAGGCATTACTGATACTTTGCACCTTATACAAGACACTTTAAAATTCTAATAAGCCCTCCCTACTTTATATCTTAAGGTCTCATGACTCCTTATGCAACACAGATTTGGGGTTGCCTCCCAATCTTCAAATTAACCTTGGTCTGTATTCAAACACTGCTCGGTTACAGAAAACCTGCCATCCCTGCAAAAAGTACTACTCGTGGTACAAAAAGAAAAATATTATGAAACACCCTAGAACACGATGAAGTCACGTCACTGGAAGGTGGTTTTCGCACCCTATCTTTTAGAAGCGAGAGGAAAAAAACAAAATCAAGGCGACTTAATGGCTGCAAACGGGGGGAATGGAGGCATTCACTTGTGTCTTGTGAGACTGCTGCCTAGCAGAAAACTTATTTAAGGGCAAATCCAAGTTTCCGTGAGAAAATACATAGTAAAAAATCTGGTTACAGTGATTTGATGAAGATGGGAAGTCAACTCGTGAGGTATTTATACTTTTAAGCAAGTATTCCGGGGTGTATTCCACATCTCCAGGAGAATGTGTGCCAGGCTGGCGATTACGTGTGCTCAGGATTTCAGCCACGGCACTTGGGGCGGGTAAACAAGCACCCGCTCATGGCTGGATGTGCTCCCTGCCCTGGGTTATCCCCCAGCTACACCTTCCCTGGCTCCTACCGCCCCCGACAGCACAACTGCGCCTACCTGACTTGAGATGAAAACCAGACCAAACAAACCCAAACCCTCCAAAGAACCAACTATATAAAAATCTCTGCCCAAGGCCTGGGCACTATTCCTGCCCCACGGGACACGCTGCGGCCG